GAGCTCATCTGAGATGGACTGACTCAAAGAGGAGAAGTGTCCTGTGGTCTGATGAGTCCACATTTCTGATTGTTGTAGGAAATCATGGATGTGGTGTCCAAAGAGGAAAAGGAATGTCTGGATAGTTCAGAAGTTCAACGTTCAAAAGCCAGCCTCTCTGATGGTATTGGGGTGTATTAGAGTGCYCATGGGTATCTTGTACATCTGTGAAGGCTCCATTAATATGGAGGACTAAAACTGACATAATTGGAAATAAAAGCAGAAATATATAAATGGACCAGTACATAAACAAATACACATAAAATGCACCATTATTCAATTGAAAAAGGAGAACTTTACATCATATTTTATAATTTAATTATTTTCATGTTTATTTTTCCAGGTTACTTCCAACAAATTATATATTTTAGAACRTAATTTAAATTTTACCATTTTAACATATTTTTTGTTATTCCTTTTACTTGTGCAAGCTACTTTTTAAATAGTTGTTTTTTTTTCCTTCACGTCTTTTTATTGCCAAGTTTTGTTTTTACACTTACATATTTTATTCTCGTAACTTGTAGTTGCATTTTTATTTAACATCTTATTGCAGCATAAATTTCATTTCACTAAGTTGCTAAACTTACTTTTAAAAACAAATCCTTCGGTCCGTGGTGAATTTCCAAACTGCGCCGATACGTTAAAAAAAATAACAACACCACCGTCTTCTCATTTCTCTGATTATTTTGCTGCCCGCGCAYTGAATCCTGGGATATCCTCGGCTGGTAAGGATACATGGATGCATCCTCGGATTTCGACAGGAAGTAGGACGCATTCCTCGGCCGCATGATGAGGAGCCTTCGAATTGGGACTGCCCTCCGCGCGGGGCAATGACGTATGCGGCCGACAAATGCGCACTCATGATGACGCAGCCCCTGAATTGAGACACGACCGTTGTCTATGGGAAGCTGTAGCGCCCAACACTGTGACCCGGAATTGACTCACACGAAAACGTCCATGAGTAAAATAGAAGTTTACACATCAATAACCATAAGTTATTTATTTTGCTTATCAGAAAACATATATACAATATATTGTTGAAACATTTATAACATTTTCTTTTGTTATTTTAATTTATTTAATTTTTTGTGTACCAAAAATGCAGGGGTTGGCACGAACCAGTCCCCTGTTCAGACATTCCTTACATCCAGAACAGAACGAGTCATGTTTCTGTGTATTTAGATCAGTTTAAGGACTATGTGGTTTAAAACTGTCAACTGAAAAGGTTTGCGTGCTGTCTCCCCATTCTCATGGCAGGTAAAATGTGTGTTTGTATTTACACACACATTTAACACATCATTTGTTCTGATATGTGTACGCACTGTTGATACATGAGGCCCGTGGAGAAGATGGATGGACGATCACTTTATTATTATGAGAAGAAAATTAAAAAAAACTCCACGAGACACACTGATTCCATTTCCACCTGTGCTTTAATACCTCTACAAACGTTGTGAATTAATTCTGTGTTGTAACATTTAATTTGCTCACATGGAGAGSGATCATCCTCACTGACCTGCAGCCCTCGAGGCATGCGAACTCTCCCTGAGGAGGCTTGTTGATGCTGATCCAAGCTGTCAGTGAGGGTGAGGGAACAAACTGAATGCATCGACAGTTCTTGAGGCTGTGAAGTCTGTTTACAGGCGGGGGCACCGAGGGATCACCTGCTAACGGTGCAACACCGACCTGAGAGGTCGTCCAACAGATAATAAATAAAAGCAGTGTGAGATTGTGACATTTGTGGTCGGCGTTCAGAATCAGGAGAAGCGGCGGTGCCAGGTGGTTACATCAGGAGCGTGATGGAGTAGTTAAATAAACGGCTCCTCACACTGGCTTCACTCACCTCCTGATAAATGGGMATTAACTGAAGATCACTCACAAGTTGAACTAAATACAGTACAGAGCTTTATTTTATTTCTCCTTCCTGCTCAGTCCCCTCTTTCTTCCTCATCCTCCTCTTCGTCTCTTCTTGACTTCCATCTACTAATTTCGCCCATTCTTTCTTTCTCCCACTCCTCTTTCCTACAGCCGATCTTCAGCTTATTCATCCTCTCTCATCCTCTCCAGTTTGTGTCATTTTCTTTCTCCTCACCCATGCAAATCTCTTTTCGTTCTTTTAATCTTCATCCTGCTCAAATTCCTCTCCTCATCCTCCTTCCAGATCTTGTCCTCTTCTCCAGGTTTGTTTTGTTTCCTCTCTTTCTTCTCGACTCGCYGCGTTTTCTTTTATTTACGTTCTACTCACTCCTCTTTTTTCCTACTTTCTCTTTTTCAGTTCTTTTTTTCCATCATTCGTTTCTCTTTTAAACATTTTATTCTGTCCTTAATCATTTTTTTCTTTTTTTCACATTTTTGCTTTATTTTTCCTCTTTTCAGTCACAGCTATTCTATATTTTTCCTCTTCTAWTTGTTTTTGCTCCCTCTCTCCTGCCCCTTCTCTTCTGTCAAACACTATATTCATACTTCATCCACAGTCTTCCTCCTTCCTTTAGTCCCCCCCCTCCCCATCACTCTCAAATCCCTGTTGACGGTTTCTTCTCCCTCAACGATCTCGCTCCATCTTCTCTTCAAGGGTCTCTCACCGTTTCCTTTCATCTGTCTTCCTATTAGTCTTTCCTCTCTCTCTCCTCCCCTCCTCTCCATCTCTCTCTCTTCCAGCAGCAGAGAATCAGTGAACACTGGAAGCAGCAGCAGCAGCAGCTTCACCTCGAAACAAAGTCTGAATATGTTTATATTTTTTGCTTTTTTAATACGACTTTGTTAACTATCTTTTTACCACTCCATGAATCAGTCTTGCAGCGCAGCAGAATGAGGGGATCATGCATCCCAAATCAGGTTTCTGTCCCTTCTCCAACTGGAGCATGTAGACATATGCTTTCCTTTTTTCTGCATCTCATTGGGAAAAACTAGGCCAGTGGTTTTTACGCAGGATGTCAGCCTCTGGATTCAGATGTGATTATTTCAAGGTATGACTTTTTAAATCTACAGTAAATAAAGTCAGTTTTTTTCRTTCAGTGACAGAATGTGCATCAGCATGAAGACTGGCATCAAGCAGCYCTTTTTGTGCGATCACTCGTGGACCAAAGCTTGTTGAGCAGCAGAATCTGGATGATTTTTACTCTCACAGAGCAAATATGATTTTAAGGGAAATTTTCTGAAAGCTGCAGGATATTATTGAAAGCTCTGTTTGACACTCTTTCTGCACCACAGGAGGTTAAATCTTTAAGGACTGTAGGAGCAGGATGGACTTCTCAGATGAATCCACTCCCGTCACTGCTATATCTCCATCCTCTTCACCACCAAACTCTTCTGCAGAGAGCGTCAACCAGACGTCCTCGTCCTTGTCCAGATTCCCCTCTTTTTCTCCTCACTCGCAAGTTGCATCTGTGCTCATCGTGCTGGTGGTCACGGTCATCATCCTGGGGACGGTGGTGGGAAACGTGCTGGTGGTGGTTGCCGTGTTCACCAGCCGAGCTTTAAGGGCGCCGCAGCACCTCTTCCTGGTGTCTCTGGCTTCAGCGGACATCCTGGTGGCCACGCTCGTCATCCCTTTCTCTTTGGCCAACGAGGTGGGGAGACTCATTTTCTGATTATTTTGCTTTTTATTTACAGGTTCTAAAGAGTTGTTACCATGAGGAGCACTGGTTAGATTTATTGGTGTCCTGATACCAGTACATTTGCAAGTACTCATTTAAAATGCCCTGGTACCAAGAACCAATACAGTTTTTTTTTTACTTTTGCGTAGGTCTTCATGTTATATTTTAAATGTGAACTCCATCAGATTGCAGTGTGAATGCTTAATGTCATTGATGCGACCTGCATGTGCAGAARATGATGYAATGTCACATTCATCTCACTGCTTACAGAAATAGCTAAACATGAATGCTACATKTTAGCRTGTTGATTCTGAAGTTGTTCAATCAGAGCCGATCAAATGATTATCTGAYGCTTGTTTAGTTCAGTGTTTATATCTGAACCTACATCTGACCATGCTCCAGTGCAACTTTTTATTTTTGGAATAAAATGAAGCGTTGAAAGTAAAATATGATGATAATTTGTTTTTACAATCACTGTAATGTTAAAGTTCTATTTCAGTAAGTACTCATTAAAGAGACGCAGTATCGGTGAGTACCCAAACTGAAGTACTCATCCTCAGTTTAAGAAAAGCAGGACACCTCT